CTCTGTCACTGGGCCCATCCACCTCTTCACAACACTGTTATCACTTTTTGCAGAGAGTCCACGAGTTGTGGTTCCTTCCTTTCTCATATAGATTACAGAACAGGAGTTCCATCCTAGTGCAAATTATAAACTCCTGGTATCACAATGGGATTGAGCTATGTTTGTCATTCCATAACTACATTTATAAACACATATGAAATAGCATTTAAAATAATGATCCCTAAAGTGATGACTACCAAAACTAACAATGGTGATAATTAATATTCTGTTTTACAAATATAAATGTGTCAGTCCAACCTGCACTCCAATATCAAATGCATTTTTGTATTTTTACATGCAGATTCTTCTTTTACACCACGAAAATGTTAATGAAAGACCACTTGCTTTGATGGCTAGGCTTTCGTTCTGTTGAATACAGTTATGACACTCGGGCTTATGCCAAAGCCAGTGTGACACAGCCTAGTTAGTGGTCAGTACTTCTAGCTGTGAGTATGAAATACAGGTTGCAGGAAAGTTAACGAAAACCCTTTCCTGGGGGATTTTTTGGTCTCCCAGAGGCCCCCTTCTATGCAGGTTATACTCTGGGGATACAGGCTGGATGGATTTCAAGGGCTGACTTCATCTAAATCAATTCTTTTATTGACTGACTTGTTGAATTTGTCTCCTGCCTAAGGCAATATTGGACCTGATATTCTCATCTTCATAAGGAAAACATTGGAAAATGCCAAATCACTTATTTCAGAACAAAAATGAATCTCTGAGATTATCCGGCCCCTTGCCCTTGTTTTACAAATAGGGAAACCAGCCCAGTGAGAGAAAGGGACATGTACATGGTCACATGACTGTTAGAGCAGGGCTCGATCTCAATGCAGGTCTTCCTCCACCTCTGCTTACTAAATAGAATATCAAACTGCAGCTGGAAGTGTGAGGCTGTCCAGGAATCAGGGAGTCCAGGAGGCTGAATGCATGGATGTGCAAGAATTCTCTTCCCTGGACTGGACTCTCAGAGCCTCCTGCAGCAAAATCTCTGGTACTGACCCTGCCATCCCAGGCTTACATCCAAGAGGATGATTCCCACTCCCTTAGACAGCCCTAAGGTTATAAATTAACCTGCAAAATTGGACATCCATTCTAGAGAGGGAAAACATGGAAAAGATAAAGGGCCTCTTTAAAACAGATTCTTCCTGATACTTTTTTTTTTTTTCATAATTATAGCTTTAACAGCTTATGGTGATGGGAAAGCTGGCTACTTAAGAAAAATTAGTAGTCTCATTTGGCAGGAGAGAATTCCCCAGGGGATGGTGCACTGTCATTTTTCAGGGCCCCTTGAAAAGAAATCCCACACAGAGAGCTGCACATCAGCCTGACACAGGACAAGCCTCCTTCACTTACTACGGCCAAAGCCAGATCTTTTAATTAAAAACACTGCATATGCCATTAAATGTTGCTCTCCCTCCAGTCCCAAGACGTTGTAGTTTGAGGAGATACAAACAAATGAATCCATTGCAGATGTGCAGGGAAACCATTGCCTACTGAGTCACAAACCAGCGGGTTCCCAAATTCCAGCCTCAGAGTGCCTCCCCATCAAAATGTTCTTTGCAAGCAAACTGTTCTCTCTGTAATTTTCACAGTTTATGGCAGTTGCCATGGCTGGAGAAGGAGGGCCATGGGGAGGGTGAGGGAGAGAGAAACACAGTGCCACCTCACTTAATTTATGAGCAGAGCCTCATATTTTACAAATAACCTTCATGATAAATAAAGGCCTGTGGCCACACATGGGACTGTGCTGTTTTTGTGTGTGTTTGCTTTTCCTGGTTAATTTTATTTATTTTTGAACACAAAAGTCACATATTGGGGGTAATCACATCCCAACTCTGAGCTCTGGGAGGAGACGCACAGAGGCAATGCTCGCTGAATTTCAGCCGCTGGAGATGGTTTGAGTTTGATGATTTCAGCCGATTCTTACCATGGCTAACCGGAGCACCTTTCTCCCCAGGCAAGCACCGGCAGCTGGATCTCATTTTCAGCTGCCAGGCCGTCCCCATGCCTTCCTGAAGCAGCCAGCCCACAGACCGAGTGCCATCCTTTCCAGGAGTTTATTCGAAGTGACAGCTCCTCACACTCTGGCCTTCTAATCACCTCAAGTAGCCGAGATACCAGTGGGGATGGGCGAACTCCTCCTGCAAAGTCCAAATTTAGATTGACTGAGGTTATCCTTAGGCCCCTTGACCCTAGTGCTCCGACAGAACAGGACTGCCAGGACCTTCGCAGCTGCAGCGAGTTTTGTAATGATGTCTTGGGAGAGATGTTCTGCAGGGGCCGGCAGAGAAGACCCCAAGTGATGGGGAGTGATGTCAGCTTTCGTTAGAGCGGCAGACAGTGTTAGAATATCCTTGGCATAATATGGCGCTGGTATCTTTGTCAGCATCTCTGTTTTCTGTCACCACACACAACCCTGGGCCTGTCTGCAGCCCTGACGGTGTCTTTTCAGATCAGGCTGTTGCCAGCACAGAGACTAGCTTCGCTCTTCACCACACAGCCCCTTTGTTTGAAGCCTGCCCTTTTGTCATTAATGCACTTGATGTCTCTTTAAATCTGACAGTGAATGCAGTATCTGTTTTCCCGTCAAGAGATCATTGACAATATTAATACCTCATGTCCTTGCCTCATCTTCCAAGCGCTGACACCTAGCCACAGTCTCCTGCATTCATCAAACAGCCTTCTCTCACCAGGATGTCTATAAACATTCTTGCTTCCAGGCCCAAAGCAACAGGGTAGGCCTTAAAAAAGACTTTTATCAATGCCAGCCAGAAAGAAGGCCCGGGAATGTGGCACAGAACATGCTACAGCCCACGTTCCAGGAGCATCCAGCCTGTTTCCAGGGCAGCACTTGCTGTCCAAGTTGCATCTAGGTGAGATCTGGAGTTGAAGTTTACCATGGAGAGAGGGCAGAAAAAAAGCAGTTGAATCTCTGAATGTACTGAAAAGTTTACTGGATATTTTACTGGAGAAAGGGCACTCATGGTGGGTGGTGTGTGTGTGTGTCTGACTCATCCTTTTGCTCAAGAGAAAGATTGTGTTCTTTATGACATCTGACAGCCCTATCCATTCCTTTTTTTAATTAAAATTCATGTTCTAGCGTTGTAGAAAGAAAGTAGCATCCTTCGGCCCCATCCTTCCAGATTCTTCAGGGTTTATTTGAATCAGTTATGTTTAGGGAAGCCCTCTGTGGATACCTGACAGAACTGAGGCACTCCCACCCAGGCCTGTAGTGGATGCTATTCCTGGAGCACAGCCTGACCAGCCAAGCCCACAGGCCAGCGGGATCCTGGCATGGGTGACAACATTAGTGCAACGCTGGTTGCTACATAATTCAGCACGATAAAGGAAACAGCTCAGTGCCAACAACTAAAAGAACAATTTAGGTCCCGAGAAGGGTCTCAGTGAGGTTCCATCCAAGCTCAAAGTTTCCAGGCACCATACCAATACTGAAAAACAGAAACTGGCGATTCAGGGGCCAAGGAGAAAGCATGACCAAGATGGAAGAATGATCCACAGTAAACTTGTTCATGGGAACATGGCAGGAAATAAAACTAATGAGAGTGAGCCCAAGGCCAGCTTTGAGGCCATGGAACGTTGTTACCCTCTCTCCATTGCCAACTCTGAGAGACTCTTCGACCCCAGCAATTTCTAACTTTGATCCAAGCCATCTAAACCAAGGAGCATCTGCTCTGTCCTTATAAGTTTCTAAAAGTCATTCTGAGGCTTATGTAAGAACAAGGTTTAAAGCTTTGTGGTGGAGAAACCTCTCCTTCACAGTTGCAAAAATATTTACTACTTAGAACTTCTGATGTGACGAACCGGGTTAATTTCAAGTGCTAATTTATCCCAAATTAACCAAAACAAATGGGCTTGTTGGCTTCACACTATCACACTGATGGAAAAAAAAAAAATCATCGTGCCCCGAGGTAGCTATTTTCACAGGCAGATTTGTGGCTCCTGAATGAATGTCTTACGGATATTTCCTTTCTTTGCTTTTTTCTAGTTGTGTGCAGTTCAGAGACTCAAGTCCGATTAGTGCTAAGACAACTCTGTGCAACTGAATTTAAAATAGATTTTTCTAAAAATAGAAAATAAAAATGCAGGTGGCAAAAACAAAACAGATTTTGCCTTGATAATCCTACAGAGCTTTCACAATAGCTATGGCAGGTGATTCCTTATGGGTATTTTGATTAAATAATGAGTTGATCAAAAAGTTCGACCCTATTCTAGGGGCGTTTTTCATTGTTAAGTCTCCTACAATCTCCTTGAATTAGAGAAGAGCCTTATATGGAGTTAAAGAATTACTTAAAGTAAAGCTGAAAATGGGAATCAAATGCATTCTGACCTGAAATAGAGAGTTCAAGATGCCCGTAAGAAGCCGTTTAATGTCGGAGGTTCTTGTTCTTGTCCATGTGGTATTTTGTCAACACCACCTCTTCCCTTATCATCCCATATGTGCTCGATGTCTGATGCCTCATGCCTGCCAGGATTTGGAATATTCTCTCTGGAAGTTAACAATGTTGATTCATGATAAAGGACTTCAAAAATAGTCTCATTCTGGGAAGATTGTTCTAAGTCTTTGCTTGGGCTGGGTTCATCTTTAAACTCTTCATTTTCCATTCTTCGAAACGCTACTAAGGGAAACTGGGATGAGAAGAGGCTATATTTTGGGGAGTAATTGGCCAAATTAGAAAAGTACTTAATGTGTGGAAGAGAAGTCATGCAGAAAGCAATATTCCTAGGAACTTGTAGCGACGTTTTATTTCCCTGTCAACTCTGAGGTTGACAGAACCTTCTTGTCTGTGAGGACAAGAAAGTAGAGTTCTTTACTGGGGCTTGATCCGCTTTCTGCTGCCCATTGAATCTGTGGTTACCTTGCATGTCTGTTTTACAGCACCTGTGTCTCCCTGCCATGTTAATTGTGCCACCTGTAATGATGTGTGTCTTTTTATTTGCAGGTGTCCTGGGGAAGTGTCGCTATGTTTACTATGGGAAAAACTCAGAAGGCAACAGGTTTATCCGAGATGACCAGCTCTGAAGCCAAGTTCTGTATACCTTCACCCATTTCATGGAAATAAAATCAAAAGGAAGATCAAAAATAAAACGCTAAAGAAAACACAATAGCCCACGTTACCTCTCTTTGGGAAAGGCTGTGACTTCAGCCTTTGGTACCTTCTGCTGACTTTGCCAGGCCTGTCAAGATCATCCTTCTGCCTTAGACTGAGTGGTCACATAGAGATTGACATGATTGCCCTTAAGCAGGTCTCATCCACCAGGGTGACAGACAGCGGTTGTGAAGCAACGGGGCTGACAGCATGAACACCATGATAGATTGCCTGGTCCTGTCACTGCTCACAGGGGAGCAGAGGTCACACCTGGGGCCTCCCTGGGCATGCTCAGTGGCTGCATTCAAGTGAGAAAGACTGTCTTTAGATCGCCTATTGAGTTGAAATCTCTCTGATATCATCATGCTGCAGGCTTATTTTTAGTGAAATAATCACAGTTTAGGGTAAAGCTACTCTCCCTCACTCCCTTTAAATCTTAACCTCTGCATTCTGCATATACATAGCTCCCGTCTCTTCCCCTCCACCTTCCTTTAGCATCATTTTTCTGACACGTGGTGCATTTTGGTTTGCAGCTTTTCAGCGAACAAGGTATAACTTCCCAGGCAGGTCATACATTTATGGCTGGCTTCATGTTGCTACAATCCCTTTATTGGAGTAAATAGCTTTCCCTAAATCCCTGACTACAAAAGCATGGACTTTTATCTTGTTTCATTCATCTCTAAATCCACTTCTTGCCCTGAATATGATGCAGTGTAAGGCAGTAAGGCATCTTTCTCAGTACGAGGGTTTGGTTGCACCAGGGACTCTTATTTATTAATTTATTTTTAACCGTATACACTTCCAGCGATGCCTGTGGCCATACTTGTGCGTGGGGCTGGCTTGCTCCTTTGGGTGCCATTTAAAGGTAGTGAGGTGATGAAAGACAGAGTGATGGGTCAGGAGGTTAAAAAACAAAATTAAGACTATAGAAAACACCCACCAGACCACAGAGTTTTTATAGAAGGCACAAACCTTTTGGATTTCATATCTTTCTCATGACCTCTTAGAAGTCAGATCCATAGGTTATGAGACTGTTATTCCTTCCTATATCCTTGGCTGTGCACTAATGTCACAAGGAACATAAGTATGATCATTGCTAGTTGGGTGGCTATAAGCTTACCTAACTTGCTGGTGCACCAGTCAGATCACTGTAGAAGATATTCAAAAGGCTGATTGTTCTTGACACGATAGTGTTTATTTTTCTGCTTATCTTTAGACCAAGTGCTCATTGTGCTCACAGTATTAGGTCAGTTTGATGACAGCAGAACCTGAAAGAGAATCCCTCCAAGTTATAGATACTGAGGGACTAGGGAACTGCTATTGTAAATCTCTGGGGACTCAGAATCCCTAAGCTGCCCAAAAAGAGCCTACTTTTTCCGCTCCAGCCCATTTATGTAGCCTCTGGCCTACTGAGTCAACACAGGCCTTGAATGACATGTATTGAGGCTGGCGGGAGTCCTGCTTACAGATTATCCTTTGTTAATCAGTTCTTGAGACAAGTTAAGATTAAAATCCTCACAACTACAAATAATTGGAGAACGCTGAATGTCTGCCTCTATCTCTCAAATCCATTCGTACGTAACTGGAGTACCTTTTCTCTGTTTGATTTACAAAACGGCACTGGAATAATGCTTTAAATTATCTCCATTTGGTTCCTCCCCGGGTTGTTGTTTAGAAGCATCAACACATGTTTTCTTCTTGGCATAATGTGGGCAGCCAGAGTTCTGTGCAAGAGCAGCTAGACGAGTCGGATGTCATATCCAATCTAGCCGCACATATATCCTTGTCTTTATAAAAGGCTTTAACCCTTCCTCAAACAATAAAAAAGCACTTGTGAACTGACCACAGAATTTTTCCATCTTTATTTTTCTTACTTGTTTACTTTTTTTAATGTCAGAACCATTTGTATCATGCGCAGGAATGTCTCCCTCAATGTGAGCTTTGGAGGCAACACATATTTTTGGAGTGAGTTATTGACCACACTGTTTCCCTCTCTTTGGGTTGTTTATTTTCTTCCAAAATGGTGCAATAACTTTCATTAAGATTAGCTTCAATTATAAATTACCTAAAGGCCACCACGAAGGTATATTCATCTTACTGATAGAATTATAGTGAGTTTTGTTTCTCTTAAGGAGGGATAATGATAATGAATTAGTGCTGGGTTGCTCACAGTTCCACTGGCGTGTCAACCAAAATTTGCTATGCTAGAGCTAGATTTTGGTCTGAAGTGGCAGAGGTAGAAGCCATGTTGCATGTTTATCTTGAATCTGTAGGAATTTCCCAAACCTTGTTTTTCGAAGTTGAGGAGAAGAAAGTAATCAATTCAATCAGGAACCAGACATGTTTTGTACTTTCTCTACCCTTTGGTCTTTCTTCCTTTTATGCCATTCCACTGAGCTTGTTCTTTGGGGATTGTGGTGCCTGACATCCCTGTCTTCCCCCTCCCAGGACACTGACCTGAGTGGAGAGACCTCGGCAATTCAAGGCTGTCCTGCAGCTCTCTGTGGCCTCAGCAATGTCAGGGCGGCTGTCTCTTTCCTAAGTAACATAATTTTAAAGAACAATTTGTTCCTTAGGGAATAATGTCTTGGATTGTGGGGAATCCTATTAAAAGTACAACTATTGCAATCATTTGCTTTTACTTTCACCAGCCTCGCTCATAAACCTCCATCTGTTTGTTGCTTTAAATAGAAGCACACTATAAGAGATTATCACTTGATCAGGCTGCGTGTCTGAGTGTTGTGTGTTTTCACATATTCATGTACACGAAGAAATAAAAGAAAGCAAACCACAGATTCTGGATGAAAGGATTTGTTTGTTTGTTTGTTTGTGTGTGTGTGCATGTGCATGTATGTGTTTCCACTAGAGATGTATCTTGCACATTTTCAAGGGAAAAATGTCTTTCTTGCTGTTTGCAAGAAATAACCTGGCTGTCTTTCTTTTCTTTGTTAATATGCACACCAAAAACAATCCACAGGGCTTTCATCAAAAAAATGCTGGTGTTCTGTATTTGGTACTTGCAAGGGCAGCCTAAGTCAGGTTTGTGTGGCTGCAACACAGGTAACGCCCAGCATGGACACAATGGTACCCATTGGGACTCTTCCATGTTGTCCATCATTATAGCTGATCCAATGTGATCTTTTTCCACCTGTTTCTTTCAGTTCTGTTTCCAGGCAGAAACCTTTGCTGAAGAAGGGTGCTACCACTACTCAATTCTCTTTAACTTGTTCAAATACCATGCAGGAAACTGACTGACTGTGAGTAAGACCTGGAAAGGGAAATGAGACCAGATGAGCACAGAGAATGTTGATTACTTGTTTATGTGACAACCAGACCATCAGCTCGTGGTGCAGTCTTGTATGTTACTTCTTCTAATGCATCAGCCACCACTCAAGCGACCTGAAGAACACTGAAAGGCACAGCCACTGTTTTTTCAGGTAAACTTAATGTTCCTGAAGTTTACCTAAAATTTCCCAGCATTGGTGAGTCTCATCCTTTGGGCAATTATAATGCCAAGGGTTCATTTGTCACTTTGTGGTTGGGGTAGGTCATAAGATGTATTATTTGTGCATATTATCATATAAGCATATGATAATTCTAGAGTAACATGGAATATGGCCCAGAGAACAAGCAACCTGTGACAAGGGAGTTTTGCTAAGAAACAGTAGGGGAAATTCTAAGTATGGAATGTGTATGGGGGAGAGTTGCTAGAGTAGGAATGATATAAATGGCAATAAATGGGATTATGCCAGGAGACAGCATACAGCAGAATTAAAATGTGGAATCTTCATGGATAGGAGTAACTTGAGAGCTGAGGAAATGAGAAGGAAAGGGAAAAGCTAGTTTTCTGCCATTCAAAAGGTTTGCTGATGTTCAGCAGTAACGTGATGTTTAGGGATATTTTATCCTCAAAATGGAATCGTCTTTGATATAAATGAGTGTCCACCCACTTAATGTTTTACAAGCTTCTCTGCCAAAGACAATGAAACAGTGTGGAAAAGATGGTTCATGGAGTACTGTGGGAACAAATGATCATATGCGTGATGGCTGCATATGGACAGACACGACTGTGGCTGGTACCTGATATTCTACAAACTGAGCATCCTAAGGCAAGTGCCTCAGCTCTGGACTGGCTAAAAAATACAAGGTAAACTTAATGATGTGAGCAGTCATATGAAAGAGAAAATAGTTTTATGGTCATGGAAGTCTTCATATATTCATTAAGTTCAGAGGTACATGGGCACCTTGACAAGATAACAAAAAAAAAAAACAAAAATATTTAAAGAAAAAGATGAATGCCTCTATCTGGGGCAGAAGATGCTGGCAATAGGATTCAACTGTTCTTGGCATGCAGGCAGTGAATGAGCGCTCAGCTCATAGGAGCTGTGAATAACATCTTAGTTCAAGTTGATTACCTGGATTAACGTGCAGAACATTCTAGAAACAATGTTTCTGTTTTGTCACATCAATTACTTTAAATCAACTTTTCCTCCTCCATATTGGAAATAATTATCTCAACATTGTAAATAGGAATGAATTTTGAAAGCTCTGGGGATAGTTTCCTTTAGACATGAGCTTTCCAATTTAGGAGTTTGTGATGAGAGGGAAAAAGTCCTGCCTGTGGGCTTAAGTACAATATTTAGGGTATTCTAGTTATGGAGTATCAAGATAGGTAAGAATTAATGTGTATTATTTATTCACTAAGGCTAAATTTAGTAAATCATAGTCTAAATCATAATAACTGCTGCTATAAAAGAAATTTCCTGTGAAAAAAGATACAAATGAAATTTAACACCCAGGTGGAGTATGGTGTTTTAATTTTTATGTTATTAGTATTTAATGTAATATTTTATGAAAAAATATACTCTTTCAACCCACATTTAGTTTTTCAGGCTGTGATTATGATAGAAACAGCTTTTGGGGGCAAAATATAACTTAATTAGAACAATAACAATGACAGCTACAAAGTCTTCTAAAATTTTTAATTACTTGCCTTATTAGAGAAAGAAAGAAAGAATATGTATGATAGAGGTTAGGATCTGTTACTGACATAAATTTTCTAAGTTTTGGGTGGACTCCAAAATAGGTCAGCAATTATCCTGTTAGCATGTTACATAGAAAAATACATCTATTTCATACCTAATTAATTAATATATACTCTGTGTCCTCCTTTCATATGAATTGCTGATCTACATTTTATGACGTCAGTCATAAAGTTCTCAGGCCATGGTATGATAGTGTCATGATGCTTTTGCTTTTGCCCTCCTTGGCCTTTTAAGCAGGATCATTGTTCAAAGGATAACATAGAGCAAGTTTGTTTTAATTAAGAGAGGTCTTTGATGTTCAAAGAATAGGTTACATGAGTTATCTCCAAAAATTACTATTTAAAACCAGGTTTCATTTATATACTATCCATATTCCCCTATCTTTTTACATTCATAAACATTAGCCATATTTCTTTATTTGCATACAAAGGTTGTCTTTCCCAAAATAACTCCATTTTCTACAGGGCTATAGCATAACATTCACATCCTGTAGCCACATTGGCTGTATTCTCAAACACAATAAATGTCTGAATGCCTCCAGTTAGAACATTTATCTCCGTTTCTCTTTTAAAAACTTTATTTGGTATGCTTACTCAGAATGATCCACTTTGAAAGGATCACAGTAGAGTATAAAAATATTTGGACTTAATGGTCAACACATTCGTTGAAGGTCTAAAGTGAATGATAATGAAGCCTACTATCACCAGAAAAGCGTCATATTTTGATAAGTTAGGTTTAACCATTGCTTGGAAAATTACATTTAGCTGAAAAAATTAGGATCTCAACTCTAATTTATTAGAGAAATCTTACAGATTTACACTTATAAATATTTGTGTATATAATATAGATACAGGGTATTGGCTTACCAAATATTAAAATGGAATTTGCAACTCTATTTTGGCTAGTTTGATCTATGGACCACTTGAGTGGACAATATTATGGGCTTCTTTGCTTTGGTTCATTCATGATGCATACATGCACATACTAATAAACACATAAATAATGGTTACTATAATTATTTTGTAATATCAACATTAAACCAAGCACTAAAGCTGTCATTTTACTAAAATATGTTGGTCAAGAAACTACTAGCTGTAGAAGTACATGCTACTAGAAGTATCCATTTACTTCATGCAGATCAGTAATGTGTATATATATATACATGAAATACTCTTAATTGGCTATAAATAATTAAAAACTCTAACATTTGCCATTACTTCTGATTTTCTCCCACCACACTGTTGGGTCACTTCTTTAGAAATATTTTCCAAGTAATGCTGTGGTTTACATGGGCCTCTTAGGTTTTGAAGCTTTTTAAAGAGCAGTGATAATTTTTATCTGTAAGGATGCACATCCATACACTCATTTCACAAATATTCATTGGGTACCCTTAGTATGCTAGAAAGTTACAAATACAAGGGGATAATAAGAGGATGTCCTGTTTTTTGACAAATTTCTGTCTGGAGTAGACATATATATATATTATATATTATAATTCTGAATTATAATAGACATATATATTATATAATTCTGGAGTAGACTAATATATATAGATTAGACTCTCTCTCTATGACTAATCTATAGTCATATATATAGATTTTATATATATATGTAGTCTACTCCAGAATTGGTACCTATCCTAGCATATAATAATTTATATATATTATAGTCTACTCCAGAATGCTACCAATCCCAGCATATAATAATTTATATAAATTATACACAAATTATTATATGCTGGGATAGGTATTTATATAAATTATACATAAATTATTATATGTTGGGATAGGTATTATATATAATATAAATATACATATAAATTATTATATGCTGGGATAGGTATTAAGTTAGAAATTACACTAAAGAAATGGATTAAGGCACCAGAAATGATGGTGGGAAGTTAATTCCAAATGTAGCCATAATCCAACCACATCTACAGTTACCGTCTTGACCCAAGACACTAACATTTCTTAACCTGGATTGCTGATTACATCCACCTTCCTACCAGTCTCCTGATTCTACTGTTACTTTTGTACAACCTATTCTTTACAGGAAAGTGAGTGTGATCCTCTAAAAATGCTCAGTCACATCCTGTGGTTCTATTACCCATTTCCTATCAGTGGTTTCCCATCTCACTTGGAGTAAAAGTTAGAGTCCTTTCAAGACCCTACATGGCCCAACGTAATTGCTTTTAGAGAAATCAGGAAATCAGTGACCTAATAGCTGTGAGAATGAAACAGAAATAAATGCCCACACCACCCCCCACAGCTCTCCACTCCAGCCACATTAGACAACAAGGAGCACATTGCAGCTCTGGGACTTTGCCCTTGCCATTCCCTCTGCCTGTAATGTTCTTCCCCTAGGTAACCCCATCAAGTGCCACTTCAGTTCATTCAGGTTTTTTGCTCTAATGCAACCTCACTTGAGAGTCCTTCTTGGACCACCCTCCCACTTATCACACTCTACCTACCTTGCTTTGTTTTCCTCTGTTGCACTTACCACTACTTCACTATTAGATATTTATTTGCTTTTTCATTTATTATTCAAACAACGGGATGGCTTGAGGGTGCCTTGGCATATAGCAGCCACTCAATAAATAATCATTTATGAATGAATGAAAGAATGGTTCTAATTCACAGAGGTCTATTAGGCTATGTTTACAAACACATTGTTGCATATTGAACAGGATGAGTCTCTTTTATCAAAGAAGTTTTCATTGGGAAGTTTTCCACTCCTTTCTTTAACTTA